GTGGGAAAATTCTACTACCAGTCCTTCATCACCTTACATGAAATAGGGTGAATACATCTCATTATACTGATTTACTGGTAGCCTCGAAACCCCACTCTCATACGAATATAAAGAAACTTGGCCTGACTCAAATGTCATATCTGTCCCATGAGTGCACATAGACCTTGGCTGTATTGTGGAATGGTGAGAAATCCACGATATTCATGACTCTGAATCTAATCCCGTTTGGGGTGCTGATGAGATCCAGACGAAACCGATAGTTCAGCCTAGTCCAGCTTAGCTGACGTAGCCTTTAAAAGGACAGGGTTGAGTAAAATGCGATGGCCTCCTGAGGCATAATCATCTGATCATGGGAAAACTTGATTGTGTGTCTGCCTTACATCACCCTAAGCGATATAGACAAGCTAAGTTCTTACCAACAAGTTATTTACCGGGAAGATCTCATAGTCTCATCTACGAACAAATAGTTAGCTATGAGATGTGTTACCATATTTTGTTTAAGGCGATAAGGGGATGGTAGTTGAATTTTCCCACAATGCTACGAGTAGACATTACGTCTCCATTGAATTTCACATAGCCTTGCTTCCCAAAAGGTATTCTCATTCAGGGGGAACTGCACTTTGGACTTCGCCTAAGTCTCATCAGCAACATCAATGGACTCGAACCATTAAAGCCCACCGTGCAATCTCGATACGTCAACCACTAAACCACATTGTCACGAGAGCCCTTGTGTCACAAGGCAGATGTGAATTTTAAGGAAGGCCAGGCATTTTCCAATGACACATTTTGTGGTAGAATTGTCAATGACGCAAAGTTGTACTTGCTATAACGAACGACTACATTACTTCACCACCTTAGACGAAATAGCGAAACACATCTAATATATCTGACTTATTGATAGTCTCGAAACTCTAATTATAAAGAAAAAATATTTGGTCTGTCTATGGTTTCACCACTCCCACCTTTGTTGGTTAATGACTAAGTCGACAATTTGGAGGAAAATTTAGAAACGTAATTTGGTGTAGATGCAAAGGGTAATTGGATTTCGAGGAATGTCCCGGAATAACTTTGTTGGGGAGACCGTAATTTCGTATGAAAATGCATGAAGAAGAGATCCGTGGGTCGATCTCACCAGAAGACGACGGCTGATTTCCGTTGTACTGCAGCCGTTTGGCTTTTATACGACGTTCAGGTTGACGCAATCCATGAGACCTCCCTCGTTTTGGGTGAAAACGGGCTGAGATTTCGTCCACGTTAACACTAGGGCAACAAGACTATCCGGCTTTATCTTAACTCTTATAAGGACTCAATTAAGCAAAAGAAAATTACTAGGAATAGATAAGTGTAGAATGGTTTGGGTAATTATCTCTTGTATAAGAGACAAGAAAGAGCCCGATAGTCTTCTTGACCTAGTGTTAACGTCAGACTTTCACATTAATGTGTTCCAGCTCTGATGACGCCCTTCATATGATGGACGAAAGCTCAGCCAGCTTTCACCCGAAACGACGAAGGAGGTCTCGTAGACTGCATCAACCTAAACATTGTATGAAATCTAAACGGCTGCAGTACATCGGGATTCACCGTCGTCTTCTGGTGAGATCAACCTACGAATCTCTTCTTCATGCACTTTAATACGAAATAATGGTCTCCCTAACAAAGTAATTATGCGATATTTGGATGACTACTTCGCGCTCTGGTCGCATGAAAAAGAAAAATTAGGCGATTTCCTGATCTTCCTACAAGACATGAATGAAAAAGTCAACTTTAAAATGGATGTGAAAGAGAAGTGACACTTACCTTTCTTGACTGTAGTGGTCATTCGCCCCGAGGCGACCCTCAAGAAATGGCTGTTCCGAAAGAAATCACATGCAGGAATCATACTTAACGTCCAGTCTCATCAGAATTATGGAATGAAGATTGATATATTCAGAAATATGGTTATACGAAGCCTACAATTCACCGATTATGGATTCTGAGGCGATGATGTGAGCAAAATGATTTAGAAATTTCTTATAAACGGATGTCCATACGAAGCAATACAACATAATATACGGATCGTAATGAGCAGATGGAAGGACGGGTATTATAAAATGCAAGCAAGGGAAACAGAGGAAAAATAGTTGATATGCAGAAAATGTTTGAAGAGAATACGAGAAAACGGAAGATCAGCGTGGCCGTGGACATCCTCTTCGAAAAAACCTAATGAACAGAAGATTGGAAGTGGGAAGGGTCAACGAGAGTTTCGCATTCTGCTCGGGCAAGCTTGGAGATTCAGTGAGGGAAGCCAAAGGTATAAGCTTGGACCAAGGATATCCATTCAACAAGAAGAAGAGAGTTTTCCAAGAAGATGAGCATGAGAGACAAATGGGAGTCAATAAATGACGATCTAAGTGAAAGGAGCCAATGGGGCCATATGAAGCTGGGTTGAGAGAAGGAGATGCAGCACTAGAGGGAAGAACAAAAAATAGGGGCAAGGAGTGATGCGACAACGGTTGAAGAGGAAATTGGTCAAGGAGATTGCCTTTACTTGCCATTTTTGACAAGTTGTAACTCTGTGCTAACGATTGCGCCTTTCAATTACGATGCCGACGAAATGTCTGGGAATGTAGCGAGTCAGGGTCCGATGCTAGGCATCAACTTGAATATTTGGGCTTCCCTGTCGCTCCGACCAAGTTGCGAAAACGAGGTCAAACCAACGCTAGACTGCGATCAAATAGGAGGCCACAGCTCTTGCCCACAAAGCATTTGCCGAGAGGATGTTATGGCATCCGATACCTGTTTGCCCCCTGTTTCCACCAGAGGAGACATCTCTTGTAACCTCTTTCGATGATCCCTTTACATACATTTCGGCACCACGATACCGGAGCACGGTCCATTTTGTCTTTCCATTTCATTCGATTGTGTGTTATTGTGTTTGTTTTGGAGTCCGGTATCCTCTCGGTTGAAGTAGCCCTTTCAAAGCATGTCACTGATAAACGGTAGGTCTCCTAGTTTAATTTATTAGTACATGATGAGTCAGACACATAAAGTCAAACTTGCGAGTTGATTCCTGCGTAAGGTGAAACACACTAATTTGAGATATATCACACAAGGCGCTGAGATGTCGGAGTCAAATAAGCTCCTGGAGCTACTAAGCCTTGCCTGATTAGTACCGTTTTTAAGCCCTTTTCTGTTTGTTGCGGCTCTGTTCGCACGACAGTAACAATGTAAATCACCTTGGTAGCGTGTTTATGTAAAAAAGAATCTCTTCTTCATTCACGTTCATGCGAAGTGAAAGTCTCCCTAATATGTGAAAACAGTCACTGAAATCGAGCATTTAGTACGCATGATGTTAAGGCCAGCTACATTAGTGTTGCCACAGGGAAAGAGCCTAGAAGTGTTTGAGCGTGAAGCTCGCGTGTATCGGACAACAATTAATTCTTTACAGAATAGTATATTTTTGTCTTACCGAGTTGGCTTGGACTGCTTCCCATTCTGGTTTTGTTCATTACTTTGAATTTGTTGTTCTTTTCTGGGTGAATAAGGACGACGTATAACTAGATGAAGATACAATAATAAAGAATGAATTAAGTGTGCAAGAAATTAATATCTGTTTAGCCTAACTTAACATTCATGATCTGATTGCATAATCCTAGTCGAGGTCACTAGGGAGGTCCCTTGAAAATATCCATTTCGGAGCATGCATTTGAGGATAAGTAATGATGTTTGCTACCAAAAATATGAATTTATTTGCTTTGAACTGCTTGACTCGGTTTCGAAACCTGCTGAGGGCTATGAGGGTGAGTTAAACAGACCTTAAATTTCTATTGTGAGATGACTTTGCATTTCGAAGAAAAAATTGTTTGGAAGGAATTCGTGATGCGGTCTCACCGAAACCGAAGGAGGATAGCTGCCCAATGAAGATATTATATTATTCGAAGAAGACCTCGGCTCACCGTCCTGCGGCCCCGATGAAACTGTGTTAAGCTTCCCTCTGCACTGTGACAGACATCATCAGAGCATGAATCCATGTTTTACGAAATAGAGCAAAGATATACTAAACCAGAAGAAAAGGTGGTCGACTATAACCCTAGTAACTTTTTTATACGCATAGCCTTGCGATCTTAATGGGGCATCCCATGATTTGGTTGACTACCTCAAACTTATCATACATGCTTGCAGATGAGTGAAGTGGATTCGGTGACAACTGTTTCCTTAAATAAATAAACTTATCCCAGGTCTCTCGGGTCTCAAGACGGTGAGCCGAGGACTTCTTCGCACAATCTGACAGTCTTCACTCAGCGAAAATCCTCCTTTTCATTTTACCAATTTCCTTGCGAGCAACTTTTTCTTCGAAATTGAAATTCATGCCACTAAGGAATTATCAAAAACCCTGTTTTTCTTCACATCCTAATTTGCTAACCCTACCTTTTGTTTTTGCTTTTGCCAGATACAAATCGGGTGGAATAATTAATCTTATGAAAAAATGCAGTGGGCGAAATCAAGTACAAAATTCGTGACCACACATTTTCTGGAGCACCGGCCCATATACCAGGAGCGCAAGGATCCACTGAACAGGTGGTCCATGACATGTCTTGCAATGTTAATTATCTACATATGTAAATACAACTAACATTTTGGTGTGGAATGTCTGGACATTAGGTCTCCGAAACCATGGGGAGCGTGTAACCTCTAAACATGTCCACCGCCCTTGGTTCGAGTCCCACCAAGAGAGGTCAAAGCGAGGTCAAAAGGGCAGTCTACTCTTGCCTGAATTAGGCTACCCTTTCGAAAATAAGGCCATATAAAAATTATCATCGTTTCATGTCAGACAATTTAAGTATCAGGGTTAAAGTAATCGGAGCTCTTAGGCTCGTATTGTGTCATTAAACTCGACTACGTTACTCATATCCATAGTAAGTAGGATTCGAGACAACCAGAAGATCTTGGAAACCAGTTCTACTCATCATAGGTCGCATAAGATAATGATTAAATGACGATAGTTGAAGCCTTTTATAACTCTACGCATAATCTTTGAACCTACCTACTTTGAACATAAATAACACAGTCGACTATAGTAACAAACTTCAAGCCTGCTTTATCGACAATTCTACCATTAATGCTGTTTGGGAAGGGCCTGGTTGGTGCTGAAATTCACGCTTGACATGGGACTCACTGGCCGTAATGACAATGTGACGTATCAGTGCAATGACATGTCGAACTCTGTGCAGTACGATTTGGGTTCGATTCCGGCTGGGGGAGGAAATTGCAGTCCAGCCTGGATGGGGATGCTTTTGGGGCGAAAAGTTTCAGGGAACTTTAGCGACATAATGAGTCCGATACTCACAGTTGTGGGCAAGTTCTCCTTATTCCATTTGGGCTATGCTGATAATGGCGGCAGATTTAGAGCAAAAAAGACAGAAGATACCTTTGGGAAGAGAAGGCCAATCAGCTCGCTGGTGGCCGAGAAGAGGAGGAGGATGCAGAGGGGCAGCATCTCGCTGGGCGTCCGGTTGAGAATGTAGAGCAGGACTGGCGTGAGGAGGCTGAGCACACAGTTGGCGTAGTTGACGAACCCTATCGCCCGCGCCTCATTGAAGCCGCTGGGCGTTTTGCGTATCTTGAATGCATAGAAGGTGGTCATTGTGAGAAGGAAACAGGGCAACACAATGCTGGCCAGTAACTCCAGACTGAACGGGTGGGGATAGCATACGAGCCGGTTCCTCGACAAGCCCACCACTACCTCGGCTTGTCCATACAGTTCGCGCAACTCCATCGGCAACGCTTCGCTGGCTCCGCTGGCGTCAAAAGCACTCCCACCTTCACTGCCACCCTCACTGATGTCTTCCGGTACCAGCGGTGGTAGGATTGGTGGTGGGGTTGGAGTGACATTGATGAAAATCAGCGATAGATCGCTGCCCGGCTGTCCGGCCAACAGATAGGTTGGTGTGGGCGGTTTGAGAATGTGGATGATGGTGAGCACAACGGCCTCGACGAAGATGAGGCTGGCCGACAAAGAGACTGTAGAAGCAATGCTGACGTACCTCACGCGTTTGGCGCCGTACTCAGCAGTCGACTGGACTCGAATGTGTAGCCGTGGGGATAGAAAATAAGATTAATTCACTACAAATACAACCAGATGCGGGTGATTTGAGGACAGCTTTGGGCCGAGAGTCTATCTTGTCCGATGACATTTTCTGTAAATAATTGAACTTAGCCTCATCAAGAATATTAAAGCGAAACTGCTCTTACTTACCTTAAGCTGGATGGTTTTAAAAGAATTTTTAAAGTCCTATCTTGACTGATCCAACCCCCCATAATGTGATATTGCTGCATGGTTTAATTGTTATTTCATCAAAAAGGAGGCATGATTTGGTTTTTTCTCTCTTCGTTAAATGTGCTGTACATTAATCT